CCAGTCCATGGAGACTTCATAGTTAGCAGCCCCTGAAGCACATGACTCCATTCCCTCTCGGGGATGAACAAGTCTATACAGGTTCTAGCCTATTTACCCCCTTTCTGACCGCTTACTGGGATCACCCTCCCAGATATTCACCAAAAGACAGTAAATATTCAGGTGAGAAATTTGAATTTCCCTCCCTAAAACTCTGGAAAATTCTCAACAGATCCAGAGGGAAGTAATCAATCTCACCATCTTGAGAACAACGAACAGAGCTAAAGAAACAATTCTAGCTTCTCTGGTTACAGAGCAATCTAACACTAATGCACTTTTCCCAGCATCCTATACCAGGAGGGTGCTAAAATTGTATTTGCTTCTGTATAAATATCAAATCACTTCTAAGTATGGGTGTTGGTTGTCCTTCCAGAGGAGATATGTATGGACACAGATCAGTTGTGAACTTCACACACCTTTTAATCCTTTCTAAATTGTACATGAATAGACTGTCACAAAGGGATGACACAGCCACTTACTCAGCCCTAAACAGGATGAGTTATGCAATTTTTTATATGAATGAAAGCTGAAAATATTGATGACTGTAACTTTATGCTATTGTTTTGTTCAGCATGGCAGGTACATAAAAGGTACATCAACAGAGAAATGGATCTCCAAAATTAAGACTATAAGCCCCCTTGGATTCCATTCAGATATCAAATGATAACAAAGCTATATATATGAATATGATCCTTCTGCTAGATAGCTGGACAGCAAAGTCTGTTGAAGACTTGTCATACTGTGGGGTCATAGTTGATATTATTTATTACTGGTACTTATATACAACTGTCAACAGCAGGACAGTGGCTAAAAGGTTAGTACTTCTGTCTGGTGGTAGTAGTAAGGTCATTGGTTGGAATCCCACCCAACTGGTTCCTGTCTAAATTGGCCCTAGTATATGCATGTATGAATACGAGTTAAATACCTTAGCTTGTACACCCCTTGAGGGTTACGGACTGATGTGAATGTATAATATATACAGTATGTAATGTACTGCAGAAATTGATAGTGCTATATAAGTACCTGTAATAATAATAATAACAGTTGATATTATTATTATAGGTACTTGTATAGCGCTGTCAATTTACACAGTACTTTACATTGCACATTCACATCAGTTCCTAACACTCAAGGAGTGTACAATCTAAGATCCCTAACTCACATTCATACATACACATACTAGGGCCAATTTAGACAGGAGCCAATTCACCTACGAGCATGTCTTTGGAGTGTGGGAGGAAACCCATGCAGGCACAGGGAGAAAATGCAGACTCCAGGCACGTACCGTCGTGGTTGGAATTTGAACCAAAAGGCAGGAGCACTAACCACCTGCCCACTGTGCTGCCCAGATACGTTGAATATTACTGCTACAGTATCAAATAAAGTAGAAGCATTGACAAAAATCCATAGGCTTATAGTGTCACTCAGTCTGAAATTCAGACCTGAGCAGCAAGGCCACAAAGAATAGCCATCATAATGATTGTATTTCCTAGCTGTTACAATCATTTGTCTATGCAATACCAGTTTCAGTGTATAGGTAATAAACAGTATTAGGTATTTTTAAAGCTGCTTGTTCTAGTCTTGATGTACATAGCACTTCGTGTGATCAAATTACCACTTGTAAAAGCTACTGCTGCAGGTGCAGACTGCCTTCTCCACCTAAGTTGGCACTCGGCCAGAGTGGTACAGCAGCCTGGAGCGGAAATCAAGAGAAACATGGTTTTCTATATGGTTTCCTGGGCCCTGAAGGCAGCGTTCCAGTTGGCTACACTGCATCTAGGTGACACCTGATGGTGGCCATCTTGGGTCAGCAGAGCTTTAAGTCCCCGCCCCAGGTTTTGGCACATATTTTTGCGAAGTGGCTAGAGTAGGGAAAAAGCACCCACCTGTCAGAGAAACTTATAATGGCATAGGAAAGGTTCCAGATGAGTAGGGACAGGCTAGGGACACGCAATCATGGACTGTAGCTTCCCCTTTGGGACCAGCCAAGCAGCATTCCACCCTCTGAAGACAGTGATGCATCTTTACCCACTTCCTCTCTGCCAAGTCCTGAACTGTGAGTGAAATCCTACTGGGGTTGTTTGTAGTTGGCTTTTTGCAATACAAGTTCGGAGCTTAATAACAAAAAATTAACGCTGTACCCTTTAAATAATTCCCCAATTGCACCTAAACACTTTTCACCCCAAAAAGTGTATCATCCAAAATATATATATATATAAAGTGCTAATATACTAAATAACACTAATAAATAAATACTACTGTCCAAAAATTATATTGTCCACAATAAAAAATAAAATATAATCAAATAAAATAAACAGAATAGACAAAAATCCTCCAGAAAGAGAGTCCGCAAAAAGGCTTCCAGCGAATGTAGATCCAGTGATCATGGAGATCGAACCTCAAAAAAAGAGAGAACTCACATAGTGTGATACCATAAAAACGCATAAGGTAATATCAACATCACTGCAAAACGCATGTGAATCACACTAAAACCACACGTGGTGACTCATGCAGGTGAGTATAATGTGAGCTGTGCAAACCGCTATAAACACTCTCATGCAGTGTGCAAACCATGTAAACACGTGTCCACTTCTAAGAGTAAGGTTTAGTGTGATTCACATGCGTTTTGCAGTGATGTTGATATTACCTTATGCGTTTAATGGTATCACACTATGTAGGTTCGGAGCTTACCTGCAACCAAACTATAGGGTTGATTTATTAAAGGCAAATAAACTGCGCCCTCTGCAAAGTGCAATTGTACTCTGGAAGTCAGACTTCCATACACATGTTGATCTTGATCTCTACCCCCTCCGCCCACTGGTTTCTAGAAGTTTTCATGGACCTCCAAAACCAGGGGGAGGTGATAGAGGCCTGACCTACCAAGCCCTCCAGCTTGACCTAAATTTGACTCGCACAGACATGCTCACCACAGTTACCTCTGTGAGCCAAACTAAGTTTACCTCTCTAGCACCACTATATGTGGAAATGTTAGGGTTAATAATACGTATCATAGCAATAGTTCTGATATTACAAGTCTTTGTAGCTGACTGTTCATGTAAAGAATTAATAATTGATTATTGTGTATACATATATCATTTTGGATGGACTACCAACACTCATACTTTAAAGTGATTTGACATTATTACATGTAGCACCACTCTCGTAAGGGCCACTGGATTTGATTTTCGTTCCTAAGCGCCTCACGGCCAGGCAACACTCATTTCCCACACTTTGCACACTTGAGTCAAAGAACAGTCCTTGAGTTTGGTTTTTATGGTTTTATAAGGGGTTAAGAACTTGGATGGGGTCTAGGAGTATATGGGATGCCTGAGGAACTGCAGAACTTTTAAAAATTCGTTAGCAACTATGTACAATGAATCGGATTAGCAACAATATGTACAATGTACAAATCGGATTAGCAACAATGTACAATGAATCGGATTAGCAACTATGTACAATGAATCGGATTAGCAACAATGTACAATGAATCGGATTAGGAACTATGTATAATGAATTGGATTAGCAACTATGTACAATGAATCGGATTAGCAACTATGTACAATGAATCGGATTAGCAACTATATACAATGAATCGGATTAGCAACTATGTACAATGAATCAGATTAGCATCTATGTGCAACAAATCGGATTAGCAACAATCAAAGACTGCAAACATGCTGCATTTTTAGATCCATGGGCCATGCATCTAAAGCCGCAGTGCATTTTATATGGGAACTGCATTTAAATCACATGGTGCAAAACCACCATGCGATTTCAGGGGCACTGCATTTTTAAAATGCTGTATGCACCTTTTTTTCTACGTAAAACCTAGGCTTGGCATTCAAATTAATGGGCTGCTGTATCTGCACAAACCCACATAGATATGAACCAGGCCTAAAAAAAATCCATCATGCTCAAGCAGTGTTGTGTTTCACTCTGGCTGCCTGTGTGGAAAATGTTGTTTGTGCCATTGCCTCTGTGACCCTTACTCTCTATTTACGGAACAGCCACTACCAAGTCAGGGTTTAAGAACAGCAAGAGGAGAAGCCCATACCTGGTCCTGGCCAGCTGAACTCTTACTTTTCAGTACTCCCGGATGCTCCCACTATCACCTCCTACCCTGCGGTGTCCTGGGCATACAGGCAACATGACATGGGGCGGGGTCAGAGCGTCAGTGGAGCTCATGGCCCCGGCCACTCCTTCCTTGCTGGGGATTCGGAAACAGTAGACGCTGCGCCTGCCTGTCTCCTGGAGCCCTGTCCCAGCTGTCACCCTTGAACAGTGTGTGTTCTCGGACAGTCATTCTGTAGTGCCAATGGGGCCCTCAATTTGGGAGTAGTGCGGACTCAAGAGGCAGCTGCTTTGGGCCCCAGAAACAATGATTGGCCCGGAGTTCATTTTTAAAAGAATGAATACGTTTGTATACCATTTTTAAATTACTACACAATTGGTTTGCTTGCTCTGCTTCTATTTGTTTGCAGTTATCTAGTCCAGCCTTTCTCAACAAGGGTGCCTTGAAGTTTCTTCAAAGGTGCCTTGAGGTTTCTTCAGGGGTGCCTTGGCAAAATGTCTAAAAAATTGCTCAAAACTTGTATACAAGCCAGCGAGTGGAACAAGCCTGCCTTTTAGTTACACAAAGCCACAGGTTTTCATTGTGCACCATTACGACCTTCTAGCCACCGGTGTCCTGACAACCAATGACATCATCAGTTGATGAGGATGTCAGCTGCCTGCACAGAATCCTAGTTTGACCCTCCCCTGCCCCTCTCCATCAGTGCTGGGGTCACATTAGCTCAGTGATGGAGAAAAAAACTGAGGGAGAAGAGAAACATTGGCATACTAGTCAGGACCAGTGTGAAAAAGTGTATTTGATTTGGAAGAATAAATCCCCTCTAATGTTGGATGTTCTACATGTGTGGATATTGCTGCGATTATATAAAACTATTGGAATAGTTTTTCACATTTTAGAATGAGGTGCCTTAAGACTGTCCATAATTTTAAAGGGTGCCTCGGGACTGTCCATAATTGTAAAGGGTGCCTCGGGACTGTCCATAATTGTAAAGGGTTCCTCAGGACTGCCCATATTTGTAAAGGGTTCCTCAGGACTGCCCATATTTGTAAAGGGTTCCTCCTGCCCAGGTTCCTCAGGACTGCCCATAATTGCAAAGGGTGCCTTAGGACTGTCCATAATTGTAAAGGGTTCCTCAAGACTGTCCATAATTTTAAAGAGTTCCTCAGGACTGCCCATAATTGTAAAGGGTTCCTCAGGACTGTCCATAATTGTAAAGGGTTCCTCAAGACTGTCCATAATTGTAAAGGGTTCCTCAGGACTGCCCATAATTGTAAAGGGTTCCTCAGGACTGTCCATAATTGTAAAGGGTGCCTCGGGACTGTCAATAATTGTAAAGGGTTTGTCAGGAATGGACTCACCACTGGTGGTGGGACTCACCTGTCTTGTGGGCTGCAGTACCAGTGTTGGCCAGCGGCTGCTCTCAGCAGCCAGAATCTCACTCCTGCAGTCAAGCCATCACCTGAGGCTGATTGCAGGAGGTGTATTTAAGCAGGACCAGGCCTGCAATCAGTGCCTTGGTGTATTGTTCCCATGAGCCCCTGTGCCTGAACCTGATCCGGTCATCTGCCTGCCTTTCTGATCCCTCTGCCTGACTCCTGACATTAATAGAACTCTGCCTGCACCGACCTCGGCTATTCCTGATCACTCTTCTGCCTGCTCCTTTGTACCTTGTCTGCCCGATGGTTCCTGACCCGGCCCGTCTGACCACTCCACCTCACCAGCCCTGACTGCTCTTGTCTGTGTGCTTGTACTTTCCGTTATCAGTTGGAGGTTTGGTTTTGTTTATATTGTGCGTTTATATATTTTTGTATAGCCTCTAATAAATTATATTGTTTACACCATACTTGAGTCTGCGTTTCTCTGTGTTAGCCCACACACCTCTGGTCATACCTGGAGCCCTGACAGGGTTCCCCAGGACTGCCCATAATTGTAAAGGGTTCCTCAGGACTGTCCATAATTGTAAAGGGTTCCTCAGGACTGCCCATAGTAAAGGGTTCCTCAGGACTGCCCATAATTGCAAAGGCTGCCTTGACTGATAAAAGGTTGAGAAACACTGATCTAATCTACCACTGGGTATCTCTGTTTCTGGTAATAGGGAATAGTGTAATTGAGTGTTATGCACCCTTTTAGACAAAGGTGTTGATTTACTTAGGGCAAAGTGCCTTTGCAAAGTGCAGTTGCTCCAGAGCTTAATAAATGAGCAAAAGCTCTGCTGACTTCCATCATCCAATCATGTGCAAGCAAAAGTGCTTTTTTTTCCAACTTTCCTTGCACATGATTGGGTACTCCTTGCAAAGTGAATCTTTGTCTAATCTGGAGCATTTGCAGTTGCAGAGTGCAACTGCACTTTGCATGGTGCACAGTCTATTTGCCTTTAGTAAATTAACCTAAAAGCCTTCCTGTAGTGATGTAAAGGGTGGAGTCAGTGCCCACATAAAGGCCAGGAGTAGAGAAGCCTTTTAAGTAGGGGCATAGGAGCCAAACACCCTAGAAGCCATGTGACTATAGTCAGCAACTGCCAAAGGTATTTAACAGGGCTGATGCCCTGGGCAATTGGTTCCACTAGATTTTAGTTAGGGGTATCAGAGTAAAGGGGGCTGAATACAAATGCACGCCACACTTTTCAGATATTTATTTGTATTTATTTGTAAAAAAAATTCACAACCATTTATTATTTTCCTTCCACTTCACAATTATGTACCACTTTGTGTTGGTCTATCTCATAAAATACCAATAAAATGCATTTACGTTTTTGGTTGTAACATGACAAAATGTGGAAAATGTGAAGGGGTATGAATACATTTTCAAGGCACTGTAAAGGGCACAGCAGAGAAATACACAGCAGCATGTTTCCCTAGTAAAACACAAAACAGCACATTATGTTAAACAGCATACAGTTAACTCTTTGATCACCCCAGATGTTAACCCCTTCCTGCCCAGTGTCACTAGTACAGTGTCTGTGCTTTTTTATTAGCACTGAGCACTGTAATAGTGTCACTGGGGATGTTAGTGGCAGTAAGTCAGTTCACACCCAGTGTTAGAATGCCTGCCACAGTCCTGCCAATACTAGTATATATATAAAAAAAAAAACATTTCCAGTATATACCCCACCATTTCTAGACATTGTAACTTTCAAGTAAACCAATTAATTTACATGTATTGGGATCTTTTTTTAGCAAAGACATGGAGTAGGATACATTTTTGCCTATATTTATGAAGAGATTTGATTTTTTTTTTTTACTGGATATGTTTTATAGGAAAAAGTACAAAATATTGTGATTTTTGTTTTCAAAATTGTCAGTCTTTTTTTGTTTATAGCAAAAAAAAAAAACGTACAAGTGATCACATACCACCAAATATAAAGAAAGCTCTATTTGTGGGAAAAAAGGACATAAATATCATTGATGTACAGCATTGCATGACTGCGCAATTTTCAGTTAAGGTAACGCAGCGCCGTATCGCACAAAGTTGCCTTGTCAGGAGTGCAGAGATGAGACATTTTGTCATGGATCTACTACTGAGCCTGAGAAGCCTATACTAGCAAGACTAGCACCTGGCAGCAGGATAGAAACGGAAAGAAGGAATACGTTGGGGCATCTGAGTGGTACTTCTTTTCAGGGATATTGGAAATAGTGATGCTTGGGGGCATAAAGATGCTATCTTGCCTGGGGCCCTATCCAGCCTTAGTCTGGCACTAGGTTACTCTCAAAGTCAGAGTTCACTTTTTAATTTCAGCAAGCTTTGAGGAATACTAGCGACCTATTATTGTACACTTGGAGATTCATGCCTATTCTATCTGGGAACATGTGAGTGTAATACCAGTGTGTCTGCTATTACCAATAAACAGAATTACACAATTTTGGATTCCTCTCTCCATTCCTTACATGCAGGGGCGGACTGACAACTCAGGGGGCCCCCGGGCAGTAGGGGATCATGAGGCCCCTGTGTCCTTGCCCAAACTCAAAAAAGCCTATGAAAAAGGTACCGGGGGCATCTCATGGGGCCCCCTACTGACCCGGGCCCTTGGGCAGTGCCCGAGTTTCCAAGTGGTCAGTCTGCCCCTGCTTACATGTATATATCTATCGGCTCTACAGTTGAATCACTGGGAATGACAAGCAACATTTAATCAGGAGGACTACAAGCTCCAGCATGACTTCCAATGCCCCACCAAACAGTGTGAAAGATTCTTATTTCAACATAAGAGTCCATTAAAGTTGGTGAGTGAGGGGCACACAGACGGGGAGCATAGAGCACTTACCACCTTCTGGATGTGAACTTGATTTCACATTTGGGACTTTATTTCACTATTTATTGTTATGTGTTCATTATTTAAGCATGTTTTTCATGTCATATAACATACATTGAGGCAGTGCTCCTGCTATTTTGTGTATTAAGTTCCCAATCACCACCTCTCCTATTTTTAGTTATGTGGTCTATTCCCAGAAAGTTGAGCCCCAGTTCACACTGTAACACTGCATGTGATTCGCACAGGAAACGCACTGCATTCCTGTGCAAATTGCATGTGGTTCGCAGTGCTGTATGAGCTTATCATTTTGCATGGCTCAAATGATAAGGTGCAAGCACCTTTTTTTTTTGCCGTACTGGAATCGGATCGCATGGGTGTTCATGTACCCATCAGTCTGATTCAGGCAAACCCACTGTGTTCTGTGACCTGATTTTGGGGTTTCATTAACTTTTAGTTGACACCAACAGCAGATCTCATGAACACATTTGGATTGCTTTGCAGGAGAGATTCCTGTGCATTTCTTGCATCGCAGCAGTGTGAACCAAGCCTTACCCTCCCTAGCGGTCTGATTATGTCCATATTTCTGTGCTCAAAGCGGTACATTTTTTTGCATAAAAATATGTATTTTTTTTTATTGTAGGCCTGTAATTTTTAGGAATAACTCACTGAAATCTGTCCAAACAAGAGTCTAGTAAACATCCCAGGTAGGATAAAACTTGAAACACAAAATCATAAATTATAATTTAACCACATACCGCCCAGCCACTGTAGAAATACGGCGGCAGGGCGGCAGGGTGGCATGGCTGGGCAAAACCACGTTTTAAAATGTGTGTTTGCAAAACAGGTAGGGAGCGTGCGCGAGGCGCACCACCGCCCTACCTGTCCCGCCGATCATGGCTGCGGATGTCAGTTGCCGGGTCACAGCCGATCGCTAACGGCTGTATCCCGGTGATTAGCGGCAATCACCGACAGAGAGCAGGGCTGCAGTAGCTCTGCTTTCTGTCAGTTCCCTGTCAGCTCCTGACATGCTGAGCCGGACAGAAGAGTTTATCTCTCCTGATCAGCCAGTCCCCGTGCAGTACACACCCCCCGCCCCCTAGTAAAACACTCCCCTCACACAGTTAACCCTTTCAGTAAATAAAAAAGTTAACCCCTTCCTCCCCAGTGCCATTAGTACAGTGTCAGTGTGTTTTTATGCACTGATCACTGTATTGGTGTCACTGGGGATGTCAGTGACCCCCAGTCAGTTCCCCACCCAGTGTCAGAATGTCCGCCGCAGTCCCGCCATAAGTCGCTGATCGCCGCCATAAGTCGCTGATCGCCGCCATTATTAGTATAAAAAAAATTAAAAATCCGAGTATCTTTACCGCCATTTGTAAACGCTATACCTTTCACATAAACCAATTAATTTACACGTATTGGGTTTTTTTTTTTGGCAAAGACATGTCGCATTTTGGCTCAAATTTATGACTAAATTTGATTTTTAAATTTTTTTTTTACTGGACATGTTTTATAGCAAAAAAACATGTCCGTTAAACTAGTGCAGCGCTGTATAGCAAAAAATGCCGTAAATTGCAGTATCTATACCATAGTTTGTAGATGCTATAACGTTCACACACATAGCAATCAATATACACCTATTTGGATTTTTTTTTACCAAAAACATGTAGCAGAATACATTTTGGCCTAAATTTATAACTAACTTTGAGTTTACTATATATTTTTTATAGCTGAAAGTAAAAAATATCATTTTTCTTCAAAGTTTTTGGTCTTTTTATGTTTATAGCGTGAAAAATAAAAAGCGCACAGGTGATCAAATATCACCGAAAGAAAGCTCTATTTGTGTGAAAAAAAGGATGTAAATTTCATTTGGGTGCAGCATTGCATGACTGCGCGATTATCAGTTGAATTAGTGCAGCGCTGAGTAGCAAAAAGAGGCCTAGTCATTAAGGGGGGTAAATCCTCAGGAGGGCAAGTAGTTAATAAATAATCATAAAAAAATAATAATATAATAATATTAAATTTAATTCAATAATGTAATCAAACCAAAAACACTGAAATTTGAAATAGAGCGCCAAGTTCACACATCACTGAGCAAAGTCGTAAAATTGTTTTCAGTGTCTGATGACGAATTTCCCCACGAATCATTATCACTCAATTCTGCAAGTGGTTCTGATTTACTATCACTGTTCTCTAGCTGGTCTAAAACCGATTTTGACCTAAAGGGACGCTTTTTGGACGCCATGGACGTTTCTCAGTTTCCAGGCAGAAAGAAGGGGAAAAACGCAGGCAGGGCGCAGGACAAAGCACTAGAGACAAAATGTATGTGAAATGGGTTGATACAGTAATGTAATACTATGTGATTTTTGTGTATTTAGTGAATGTCACTTTTTGTCATTTTCAAATTTCCCGCCAGTTCCATCCCCCGTACGTCCTGACATCGCAGGGAACGGAACCCAGAAGACAGATGCCGGCATCTGCCGGAGTACATTACAGGGGACACTGCAGGAGGGACATCGCGGGAGCACAGGACAAGGTAAGAGCAGAACAGATCCCAGAGCAGCGCCGCATGGTAAGCCCGAGTGTAGCTCAGGGTTACCACTTTTGGTACTGAAACTTTACCCCGAGCTACACTCAGGAATACCGCCAGGGAGGTTACTTGCAAATCTCTGAGCACTGATAGTTGCCGTTATTTGTCCTGTATGGTGTATTCATGTCTAGCAGATGTGTACCTTACCTTCTAAGTTGTCTCACTAACATAATACAGTTCCTTTAAGGTGTAAATCACATTCCTCGTTTGACAAGTAATTGCCATTTTTTTGTTGCAATACATTTTTACTCAGTTTTAACAATAGAAAAGAACATACATAAAGAACAGGAAGGACATTGTGCCTTCAGGGTATCATATAAACACAGTGTTAAGCTGCACAGGGCATGGAAAATGGAATGAAACCTCATGCATATCTCATGCAAACAGAATTAGTATCATTAACACAATAGTGGCACCAATAAACCCAGTAATTGTTGCTTTTAACCTGACAACCTTGGTGTGGGTGACGAAATGAATTTCCTTTGGTCCTATTTGAACACTGATTACAATTCAGACACATTTATTGCATGTGCGTAGAACAGTATTCACACAGATTTCATATCATATATATTATAATTACTTGCAAGCCACTGAGGTATAATAAATATATAGGTCAGCAGGCATCTATTCACATCCTCAAATAAATGTGTTTTGTAGTATTGTACAATAAATTGATTGCTTATTGCTGCGCCCTAAATGTGAGATATGAAAACTTCTAGAAATAATGAACCTTTCAAATCAACTTATTACAACTTCAAAATAAATAAATAGTAGAGTGTGAAAAAAAACAAAAAACGTGAAAAAAATATAATATTAGTAATTTAAATAAGAAATTAATAGTGTCCAAAAAAGTCTATATAAATTCAATTAAAGTTGATTAGTCAAACAAGATTGCAGATGGATTCTTGCTGGAATATAGATACTTATATGCGCTCACCTTCCATTAAGCCCACTGCTGGGCTAACACAGGTTTGTGATGTTTTTCCTTGATGGATATCTTTAGAGACTCCCTTGTATACTCCTGATGATTGATTATAGATGATTGTGGGTCTGTGGCAATAAAAAGTGCTCCATCTCCTTGTATTATTCCTTGTTGGTATAGTGGGAAAGAAAAAGGTACATGGTGCCTTATCATTTTTTAAAAGAACAATTTTATTCACAACTACTTCTTATGCACTCACAAGTATTCAGTATAAAATATCGTATTATAAAATATCAAAATATCATAGCAGTAATAAGTTCCTATTACATAGGAGGAAATACTGTAGTACACCCTTTTCTATAATAAGGTGGGGTCCGTCACAAACCTTGGCACATCAGGACAGTCAGCATGCAAAATGAACAATAAAATGTAGTATTCCATGACAAATATAATGTATGTAGGCATCTCACCAGACCGGTTTGTCAGAGTCAGATGTGCCTGTTCTTTTTTAGCCCTTTCACTGCCAGAGGCATTTTTGAATTTTTTGCACACTTGTTTAAAAAATTATTTCAGGCCTGAAGATTACACAACCCCCCCCCCCAAATTGTATATTTTCTTAAAGCAGACACCCTAGAAATAAAATATATTGGTAGATCCAATTTTTTTATTTCACATGATATTACCGCAAAGGTCTAGGAAAGCAAAATTTCGGTAAAAAACTCACAAAAGTGAAGTTTAGGGCAAATTACCCACATTTTTCGTAAAATATAAAAGATGAGATTGTGTGGAGTAAATAGATACCCAACATGCCAAACCTTAAATGTTCATGTGCCTATGAAATGGCGACAAACTTCAGTACCCTATATTTTCTATATTTAAAAGCCCCTGTAGGTCATCAGTTTAATGTTACGGAAGAGGTCCAGTGCTAGAATTATAGATCTCACTCCGGCGTGAGCGGCGATGTGTAGCATGTGTATCGCAATCATGGTTATCGTAAGTAGGCACCCCAACATGTGCGTTTACATTCGTACATGCGTATATGTGGGGGTGGGGGGCTCAAACTTTTTTGGGGGGTGTTATGTGCTTGGGTGTAAATTTTTATTTATTTTTTTCCGATAAAAAAATCCAAACCTTTTTACCTAACCTTTTTTTTCATCACATAGAGGACACAAAGTCTCCTATGCCAGGGCTTGAAATTTCCACTCGCCTGCTCGCCAATGGCGAGTGGAAATTATGGTGGGGGTGAGTGTGTCCCCCAGGGCCATCTTGCTGAGCAGGCTCGGAGCTCAGGCCGGATCTATCATTGGCACTGGGAGACGTCAGACTACTCAATAGCTGAGCGCAGTGAAAGCAAAGCAAGAAGTGTGTGCTGTGCTCTCTGCTTCCCCCTAGAGTACATTACACGGATCTGTGAGTGAACAACGAAGTACCGCAACTTTTTATGGGGGGGAGTGGTGCTGTGTGTGTGTGTGTACGTGTACATTTGTGTGTGTCTGTGTATGCATGTACAATTATATATGTGTCTGTGTGTATGTACATGTGTGTCTGCGTATATGTACATGTATGTGTGTGTACATGTGTCTGTCTGTGTGTGTGTGTGTGTGTGCATGTACATGTGTGTGTGTTTGTGTGTATGTACGTACATGTGTCTATGTATGTATGTACATGTGTCTGTGTATGTATGTACATGTGTCTGTGTGTATGTACATGTGTCTTTCGTGTGTATTGCGTGTGTATTTCTGTGTATGTACATGTATCTGTGTGTATGCCTGCCTGTACGTGTCTATGTGTATATACATGTTCCTGTATGTATGTGTATGTACATGTGTCTGTTTGTGTGTGTTTGTTGGTGGTGGTGAGTAACTCTAAGCTAGTAGCTCAGGACTTGACATTTTAGGCCCTGTCCTATGTGATTAGTTTTAGGTGACAGGTTCTCTTTATTGAGACATTCAGGGTCTAAATAGCCCTGCACATCTCCTCTGGTCTCCACAAGATGTATTACAATGTAGATCTCATTGCAATACATGTATCCCCAGCTATTCTAGCTGGCAAAAAGTGACATCTGTGACCCAGTAGTGATGTCATACAGGGTGCCTGCCGGGTCACAGAAAGAAGGGGGGGGAGAGCAGACGTTCATCCCTGCCGGCACCCACCATGGCACTCCCTGGGCCCAGAAAGGCAAGCGGGGCCCAGATACATGGAGGACAGACGCAGGGGGAGCGCTGGTACTGGGGGCTGTGGAAGTGATTGGGCGGCAGCGCAGACCCTGACTGCTTCCACCTGTCAGGCAGGAGTTTGCTTGTCAGTATTATACACAATCCCACAATCTTCCAGATTTGCGCTGTAAGGCTCTGTTCACATATTGGTGATTTGAACTGAAGGCAGAATCGCTGCAATTCTGCCCGCAATTTCAAAATGCTTCTTTAGAATGACAAATTGCATATCAGCGCGTTCAGGTGCCATTCATTTAATTTAATTTCAATGGCACCTAAAAATGCAGGACAATTCTGCCACGATTGTTGTGCGAAAAATTATGCTGCAGTCATGCAAATCAAATTGCGCACCACCTGTCGCGCAACAGAAGTTCCAGAACTTGGGCAACATGCATTGTCATGCGACAAATCGTGGCACAATCGCCCCATGTTTTTAAGTGTCATTTAAAACAAATGGCACCTGAACATGCTGATGTGCGATTTGACATTTTAACAGCGCGCGTTTTGAAAACACGGGCAAAATCAGGGCGATTCAAAACACCTATATGTGAACAGATCCTATTACAGTGTAAAACTTCGCCTTAGTGCAGGTGCTGCCTGTAATAAAAGAAAAAGACCGGTCATTGCTGCTCTTTTTCCTTGTGCAGGGTGACTAGTCTTGTCCACATCCGTCCTGAAGGTTTCTGCGGCAAGCCTGTAGTGGATGGGGCCTCCTGGGCTATTCCTATCGCTCTACTCTTGCCCAGGCTATGTACAGCACAGTGATGATGTCACTGCTACTTTTACAAGGTAAAATCTGAGTTTGCAAAGGCATTTGGTGCACACAATTTGGATATACAGTATTATTTTTATACAGGATTTATATAGCGCCAACAGCTTGCTCAGTATATCCTATGTGGCTATCAAGGAATATACATAGTTTAAATTTATTTATTTCCGGTGCTTATATAGTGCCATCAGTTTACACAGTGCTTTACATATATAGTGTACATTCAAATCAGTCCCTAACCTGCAAGGGCATACAATCTAAGGTCCCTAACTTACATTCATACATACTAGTACCAATTTATACAGGATCCAATTAACCTACCAGCATGTCTTTGAAGTGTGGGAGGAAACTTTTGTACCCGGAGAAAATTGACAAAGGCACAGGGAGAACATGTAAACTCCAGGCAGGTGGTGCCGTGGCTGGGATTCAAACCAGCGTCCCTAGTCCTGCCAGGTGGAAGTGCTAACCATTTAGCCACCATGCTGCCCCACAAAAGAATGTTTTTGTGCCCAGAGTTCATCTTTAAGCATAGAGCAGAATAAATCCTTACTCATAATATATCCTCCATCTAATCCAATCTATTTCCCAGCAAAGTTGGATTTGGTACAATTCTCCTAATTTTCATAAACTGACTATGAATTTGGCTGGTTAGGATCAGTGGGTTTACATATAAATCAGGAAGAACGGTCTGGATAAAAGCGCACAGATGTGTCCCAAAGGAAATAAGTGAATGGTATATGTCAACTATGATTGGTGGGGAAAAAACTCACTGCTGCCATGGTAAAAACACATCGGTTTGTGGAAAATATGGGCAGGAGCCAGGCGCTGTGTAATTTTGTGATAAAAATAATACACCTTGTATGGAGGTGTGCCTTTAGGGAGAAATAGTGCCCTATCATTGGTGTCAGTGGGAAGAATCGTGCCCCATCATTGGTGTCAGTGGGATGAATAGTACCCCATCATTGGTGTCAGTGGGAGGAACAGTGTCCCATCATTGGTGTCAGTGGGAGGAATAGTGCCCCATCATTGGTGTCAGAGCGAGGAATCGTGCCCCATCATTGGTGTCAGTGGGAGGAATCGTGCCCCATCATTGGTGTCAGTGGGAGGAATAGCACCCCATCATTGGTGTCAGTGGGAGGAATAGCACCCCATCATTGGTATCAGTGGGGGAATAGCGCCCCGTCTTTGGTGTCAGTGGGAAGAATAGCGCCCCATCATTGGTGTCAGTGGGAGGAATAGTGTCCCAACATTGGTGTCAGTGGGAGGAATAGTACCCCATCATTGGTGTCAGTGGGGAAAGGAATAGTGTTCCATCATTGGTGTCAGTGGGGGTTGGAATAGCGCCCCATTGTTGGTGTCAGTGGGGGGGAGGAATAGTGCCCCATCGGTGTCAGTGGGGGGGAGGAATAGTGCCCCATCGTTGGTGCCAGTGGGGGGTGGAGGAATAGTGCCCCATCGTTGGTGTCAGTGGGGGGGAGGAATAGTGCCCCATCGCTGGTGCCAGTGGGGGGTGGAGGAATAGTGCCCCATCGTTGGTGTCAGTGGAGGGGAGGAATAGTGCCCCATCATTGGTGTCAGTGGGGGGGGGAATAGTGCCCCTTCGTTGGTGTCAGTGGGGGGGGGAATAGTGCCCCATCATTGGTGTCAGTGGGGAGGAGGAATAGTGCCCCATCATTGGTGTCAGTGGGGGGGAGGAATAGTGCCCCATCGTTTGGTGTCAGTGGGGGGAGGAATAGTGCCCCATCATTAGTATCAGTGACACCAATGATGGGGCACTATTCCTCGCACTGACACCAATGACACTTGCTGACCCCTGTTCCAGTATGGTGCTGCTGCAGCCAGCATACGTGGTTGCAGCAGCACCATCTGCACGGCACACTTACCGGCCGCTCCCTCACTCAATGTTCGCAGGGCCGCTCGGCTCCGCCTCCTCGCAGGTGATTGGCTGCCTGTGTGCCTTTCCTGAGCTACAGTTCTGGCGTCCAATCACCGGTGAGGAGGCAGAGCCGAGCGGCCACGCGAACATAAAGTGAGGGAGTGGCCGAACTGAATGAAGGAGCAGCCGCGCTTCCTGGACTGGATCGTCGTGGGACTGGGTCCGGAGCCAGGTAAGAAACAGCAGCCCCCTGCCCGCCCCTGTACTTAGTGTCCCTTCCGTTGGAAGGGGGGGGTGGCGGCACCGCGCCGCCCCCCCTAAAAAGTGCCACCCTGACACCAGCTCAGAAGTGTCAGCACGCCGTATACTGGCATATAAGACGACCCCCGACTTTTGAGAAGATTTTCATGGGTTAAAAAGTCGTCTTATACGCCGGAAATTACGGTTTATGTGCGTATTGTACCCCTTCCCATGCAATTGTAGCATATAGAACTATGAGCCTGTAGCAAACCAGAGGATAGTAATCTCCTGGTGAACAGTCCAAGCAAAGCCCTTTCACTGAGTATGAAATAGACTCAGTTCTTCAGGACACTGGACGCTATATCCCCTAACACATTGACTCTAGCACATGGGGGAGTGGCCTCAGACCAAAGTTTCAAGGATCTCCATCCAATCTATACCTACAAATGTCCTTGGAAAATTGGTTGCCTCCTTACCATCTGGGTGACCCCCAGACAAGGACTGTATGAAATATTTAGCTGCTGATTGGACTC